GAGTTCTTTGTGGATAACTGTTCATCATTTCCCTACTGGCTCTGCAAATGGTTTTCTGTTTCTTTTAGGCGTGGCAGTTGAAGCATGTTTTTTTCCCATACCTCCTTCTAGAAGAGTTTTGTTTGTGAGTTAGGTTTTTTTTTGTTAGGATGGTTGTATTTTTGTGTTTGAGCAACTCTGGAGTCCTTAGCAGCATCCAAACTAATTAAAATTGTCTGAGACACACAGCTGCGTTTGACACAGGCAGACATAAAAACCAGTCACATCCCCAGCCTGGAGAAGACAAAGCTGTAGCAGTTGCATGTGTTGTGATAACTAGTTCACAGCTTAAGCAAGAACCTTGTTAAAATACATTTGGTCTTCAATGTCATCTTGCAGTTTATTTGGCTATGTCTGTCCTTAGGCTCTTCCTGTTCTTTCTGTTGGTACAGCACCAAAAGCAATGGAAGCAAAGAGGAGCTGAGGCACTCTGTAATCACATCCTTTTTCGGCACAGGTCTAAGGGATGAGCTACTCCCTAAACTCTGCCTTAGCACTCTGCCTGGCTTGTACCCATGTAACACCTGCAGAGTAGATGGGTGGGTCACCATCCAGCATCTGCAAATCTTTGGGATCCAGTTCTGTGATTCCCACTCCAGCCTCTCCCGTTAGTCGTACAGGTTATCAGTGATTGCAGCAGGAGAAAGAAACACCATGCATGCCAGTAGCCCTAGGCAGGACCATACCATAACTTGGAAAATCTATTTCTTCTGTGTGACAAACGAATGTGGAAGTGGGATATTCAGAAGGGTTACTCTTCTTTAAAAGAAAAAAATAAAAATAGTTCCTGCTAAAGAGCTGAAAAATCTGCAGAGAGAGGAAGAGCCACTGAATTCTGTTCTTTCTTTGACAGTGCTGTCAAATAGAAAAGGAATGTTTTCTTAAGGGCAGAATTTAAGCTAGAACATAAAATACTTGTAAAATCTTCCCCTTCCTGCTGCCAGGGTTCTTGAGCTTGCAGTTGAGCTTTTGCCTCATCAGTAGCGTGGCTTTGATTGTTGCTACATAGGTTTAGCAAAACAGCTTTGAACCTAAAGAGACAGAACAACTGGACATGAGATGCTATTCTGGAAAAAACTTGGCAGGGGAGAAGCAAAAGTAGATTTTCTTAATTTAGGTGCCACCCTTAATTATTCATGCAAATAAGATAAAATTGATAGTGACTGTTGCATGTGTTCTTCTGTTACTGAAGCAGCCTTTCTACCTTTTCTTTTTTTGGCAGTCTCTGTGTGTATGGATGTATGTATTGTAGGATACGACTTTGATCCCATCATCCAGATAGGTCACAAAATATTTTCACAAGAGTTTGATGATTAATTTATTATGCTTTGAGAAATGCATAGCTCAGCCCAGGATGTCATTTAGTATTTTTTTGCCAATAGATAAAATATGTAGTTTATTATTATTTTGTTATCTTAGGATCAGAGCAAAGTAAAAAAGCCAATAAGAAATGTTATGATATGCAAGGATACCAATATCCAACAAAGAAAAGTGGTTATTCATGTTTTCCTCAGTGCAAAGGAGCTTTTCTGTTGTAATTTGTAAAAAAAAGCTTAGGAAGATGGCATTTAATAAATCTTTTCTTTTTCCTCTTATAGGGAAGGTCATCGGAGAATTGCCTTCAAGCATGACACGAATAATAACTGCCTTTCCTTCACAAGAAAAGTCTCTCTTTGTGTCCTGACTTTTATGTGGCTAAAAACAGTGTCCTAGATATTTATTCATTTGTTCTTGTGAATCTGTATTCCACTATCTTTTGGTAATATTTTTAAAGTTTTTTAATGTAACTGTATTAAGGAGGGTTTGATGTATACTGAAAACTATAACACCATTGAAATCTCAACAAAACCCCCCAATATTTATTACAAATAAATGGCCGAAGTAAATGGGAACCAAGAGAAAGAGAAAACAATGAGGAAATATGACACCCTACTCACTCAAGTGTCATTTATGGGGTATCTTACCAACTCCGAATGCCATCAAATCCTCTGCAGCAGCTGCGTTTTTCGGAGGGTTAGCAGGCTCACACATAGCAGACGTCCCCACTAAAGACAACTTGGTCCTTTGTGTGGAGCAAGCTCCCCCAAAAAACGGGCTGTCCGCTTTTATACAATCAACTGAGTACGTCTGCCTAGGCAGGTGTGGCCAGCACTGCCCTGCCAGAGGTTCTCAGTCCCACCCCCTTAGTTGTGCAAGTGCATCCCTTCAGTGCATGGGTGAGTACTTTGGAATTCCCCTTCCACATGCGCAGTATGCTTTGGGGGTCTTTTCTAATTGAGTCAGGGGTCGTTACTTCATCCCCTCCTCTTCGGTTTCTCCTTCAAATGTCCTTGACAGATGATGAGCCAATCACAGAACACCATTTAATACAATTTATACAAGAAGCTCTCTCTCCAAGGATGAAGTTCCCGTTTTATTAGTGAACTTGGCAGGGAAAATATGAACTCTTACAGGTGGCTGGGCCAAACACAGGCCAAAAGTATCAACATCCCTGATACAGTAACTCTCATTCTTTTCATAATCATCACCGCTGTTACTATACTATGTTAACTATACAAATATTACTTAAGAAGTTTACATTTTAGAAATGAAAAACATGCGAATTTTTACCAAATTACTTACTTTGATCTTGATAAACTGCAAGACCAGAATGATAGAAAAAATGATTTTTTTTCCCCTAAAGAAAACAACCCAAAACTGAATAATTAGGGTACAGAGCTAAATGCTCGTAGTGCTGAGGTAACATTCTCAGGGGGAATTTTGCTTCCATTAGCAAGACCTGGAGCCGAATTCAGGTTCTTTTTTAAGTGCGTCTTGGTGCATAAATGACACATCTTAGAAACCGCTGGACACAATGTATAGCATAGGTTTGATTTCTAAAGCATGTTTTTTGCAATACTTCTAATCTGTAATCCTTCTTCTAATCTGTATTTGTAAAAGTACTGCTATGGTGGAATTTTCTTGATGTATTTAAAATGTGACCAAACAGACACTAAAAATCCAGGAACACCCAAAGACACTTGCATGCATCACTGTCAAGGTTTGCAATACATGAAACTCACTAAAATGTACTTGGTGATTTGCCTTCACTTTTTTATAGAGCACTTTTACAAGGATAACTAACTTTTTTAATAGGTTTTTAATTTTGTCTACTTTCTATTGTTTGTATTAATCTTTTAGAAGTTTGGAAATAAAATTCCTATCCCTATTGGCTTTGAACTCATTGTGTAATTGTAACAAAGAGCAGATACTGTAAGGAGGAGGGTACTTGGATTTTGCGGTGGCAGGGGAGGCCTCAAGCGCTTTGCTTTTTTGGGAAGAGAAGGTTGCTGTTGGATTTTTAGAAAATCTTATTAATAGAAAAATCCCATTTATAGCTATTTACCATTTCCATGGTAAATAGTAACAATGGTATCAGGCTGTGCTGGTTTAAAAGTTAACCAGCAAGGCAAAATGAACTCAATTCA